GCCGCCCCCTCCCCCAGCGGGGGCCTGAACTGCGTCCCCCTCCCGGCCAGAGCCGGCTCCAAGGAGCCCCCGGCCCCAGCCGGGAGCAGAGCGGCGGAGCCTGCAGGGAAGCCCCCCGCCGCGCCCGGCTCCCCGGAGGAGGAGAAGGCGGCGGCGGCCAAGGGGAAAAGCTCCGGTCCCAGCTCCAGGAAGGGGAAGGGGCAGATCGAGAAGAGGAAGCTGCGGGAGAAGAGGCGCTCCACCCCCGGCCCCAGCCGGGAGCAGAGCGGCGGAGCCTGCAGGGAAGCCCCCCGCCGCGCCCGGCTCCCCGGAGGAGGAGAAGGCGGCGGCGGCCAAGGGGAAAAGCTCCGGTCCCAGCTCCAGGAAGGGGAAGGGGCAGATCGAGAAGAGGAAGCTGCGGGAGAAGAGGCGCTCCACAGGTGTGGTGAACATCCCCGCCGCCGAGGGGAGGCCCGGAGCGCTAGTGCGAGCGGCTGAGACGCTGCACCTGAGTCGTGAGCGCCGCTGCCCGCCGGTCCCGCCCCCGCCCGGGAGCAACTGGTGTTGCTTCCAGTTCCTTGCCGCCAGGGAGGCTTGTGCCCTCCTGCGCGGGGTGAGGTGCGGGGATTAAACTGCCTAGCGCGGGAGCGCTGCTGTTTCGCTTCGTCCCTCATGTCTGCACCTCTCTCGGGACAATAGGCCTGACAGTGGCGAAGCTACGGGGTTGAGGTTGGGAAGAGTTTGGCGGGATTTGGATGTACTGGGCCAGGGATGTCATCTCATTACCCCCACCCCTATTTAAACGCCGAGTTTACCGACAAGAGTCCTCCGGCTCCAAACACGTTGGGGTGGGCTGGGTCTGAGTCCAATGTTGTGATGCTTGTATGGCTGCAGGCTTGGGCTTGGGCTTCTAGTCAGGAAGGATTAGTGAACATTGACAGGAACAGCAATGAATATATCATTGAGCACTTCTTAAAACAAGAACCGTACTTCTTAATTTAGTGTGCCTTGGCTGAAACTAGGACGTGAAACAGTGTGTGTGCCTTAGAGGAGTTGCAAAGTATTCTTTAATATAAAATACCTTCCTAATTTTGTCTGGTTTCTCACGACTCTGTGGCGATCTTTTATCAAAGGTAATTTCAATGATTATTTTCTGTTGCTTTTGTCATATTATTACTTTCGAATTTCATTCATAAATATGATTAAACTTAACACATAAGTTTGTGTTAGTCACTTTGCTGTGTTCTGAACAACGAAGAAAGGAAATCATGGTATTAAGCTCTGGATAAATATTCAGGTGTAAATACACTTCTTAATCTAAAACAATTTCCTGTATTTGGAAAAAATGCAGTGGTTTGAAGTGCATTTTTTTGGAGCAGAGATGAATATTTTTATCAGCCAACACAACTGTTCTTTGTGGTTTGCTACTAGCATGAAAATCTGGCATTCATTTAAAAAAACTCTTAAAGGAATTCAGAAGCATGATAACAAAACCATTTGCTTTTTTTTTTTTATGAAGCTAGAGGAGACTGAAAACAAAGTTGAATTGCATTCTTCAGTTTTATATTGATGATAAAGGGCAACACTATTTTAGATAACATGTATATCACTAAATATTTCTCCTCTACTAGGGGTGCCTGCATGGAGGGAGGGGGAGAAACAATCTTTTGTGTCTTGTGCAGTAGAAGATGAAATCCTGTTTTCCTCTCCTGAAGTCACTAATCCTTTCTTTGTGATGACATATTAACTTGTAATACCAGAAGTATTGTCTGGTGAGGAATAAGCAGCAGGAACAAATGAAGTCTTAAATAAAAACTCTGTTTTAGGGCTCACTCCCACAACTTTGACTTAAGTGATTAGCCTTGTTTCTTGTATAGCCTGCACTTTAAAGTGAAGGATTGCAGGACTGAATCCCAAGTACTCACACTCTTGAAAATGAGGAAACTCACACTTGAAAACTAGTAACTGTGGGCAAGAGCACTGAGCCGGGCTGCTTGCACAAATCCGTTTAGGAGACAGGCCTGCTGCTAGCCGCTTCCAGGACACAGCAAAGTCTGTGGTGCCAGGAGAGGCAGGAAGCTGCTGTAGGGAAGCCCATGCCCCAATTCCCTGTCCCAGGCCTGAGTGCCCCCCAAACTCAGAGCCCCCTCCTACACACCAGGCCTCTCATCCAAAGCCCCAATTCAGAGCCAGCACTTAAGTCAAGACATAATTATGTTGAATCATGGGCATCAACAATTTTTTTTTCAATTGGGTCATGAGAAAAAAGTTTAAAAGCCACTGAGTGCCTGTGTGACAAATAACAGCACTACCACACCTATTTAAATGAAGTGCCACGTTTGCAAAGAAATAACTTTATCTAGTCCGTTCCTTGTGCCCAAATATAGATGCTCCCACCCCATCTGCCTTTCTCTAGAACCTGAATCTTCTGCTGCTTGCTTCCACTCCCTTAAGCTTGGAGAAGCAATGGCTTAGAGCCTCCTCTGCTACTTCTGTTGGGCTTATTTCTCCTGTCAGGAACAACTAACATAGCCTGCTTCTTTATCTTCTACTAATAAAGGATTGAGGCCACTGTGCTTGTCCTCTACTCAACAGAGACCATCAGCTCCAGTTTTCCCATTTGGCCCTCAATATCTGCTTAACTTAGGGGATCGGGTTTTTTTCTATTGCTGTCTCCTTACAAATAACTTTGCAAAATCTGTCACTGTGTGTCAGCACTCCTAGGAATAACTTAATGACATTTTTGCCATTGTATATGTTTTGTCTTAAAACTTCGAATAACTCCATAGCTAGTAAGTGTCTTTGTTTTGTTTTGTTTTTTAATTAAATACAGTTTGACCAAGAAACTGATTTCTTTTTAATATCCATGTTATAACAAACATTTCATGTAGCTACCACCATTAATATAAAGTACTTAACCTGCAGTGCAGATATGAGGGAGTGTGTTTGGTTTTTTTTTATTTTTGCAAGTTCTGGCTTGGTGAGGGAGTGTGTTTTTTTATTTTTTTTTATTTTTGCAAGTTCTGGCTTGTAGGCAGAATTCATTTGTGATGAACATCTCGACAGGAAAACATTTACATACAACTGACTTTTTTTTGTGATCAAGCCAACTTCTTGAAAGTCTTCCATTAACATTTTAAAATAGGAGTATATGTAGCACTAAGAATTCATTAGTTCAAGATCAGAGGGAGCCATCTTATTCTTCATGTGTATATCACGAGCCATTACACTTCAGCCAGATTTTGCTATATAAATTCCAATGATGTTACTTAGACCCAAGCATTTCAGTTTTCCAAAGACTTCGGACATGTCTATACCACATCTGGAAGTGAGCACTCTAGTGTGGTTCTTCAAACCTGTGCTAGCAGGTCTCACGATATCTTGCTAAAAATAGTTGTGTAGAAGTTGTAGGATTGAGCTCTGAGGCCTGGGGTATCTGAACTTGATAAGTCTGTCGAGGGTCGGGGTGTGGGGAGAACTAGCTTCGAGATGCACAGTAGGCATGCCCATGGGTGTGTCTAAACTACATGGCTCCGTCGATGGAGCCATGTAGATTAGACAGATAGGCAAAGGCAAATGAAGCCGCGATTTAAATGA